CCCCCCCCCCCGCGGTGGGGCGCTCGGCTTCTCCGTGGGGAGGAACCGTGGCCGGCTTCTCTCTCTCTCCCGCCGGGCGACTGGCCTACGAGGAGGCATCCGCCTTTCCTCCTCCGGGGCTGCGGGGGCGACTGGGAGGCTCTGGAGGGGGTCCATTCCTGCGTCCCCCACCCCCCAATTCCGCGGGCCGCTTCCTGAACAGGCAGCCGCAGAAGAAGCCAACTTTGCAGGGTGCAAGGTGTAAATGATAACATCGGGAAGAGCCGGAAAGGGGCCCTCGAGGCCATCCAGTCTAACCCTTTCTTCCCACCCACCCACCCGGTGCGGTCCAGGGATCCCCAATTGCAGGCTGCAGCTCCCGTATCCTTAAATCCGGCGCTCTGGACCTCTCTACCCGGGGGGGGGGGCGCTTGCCAGAATTAATCCCTTGGATGAGTGTTAAACTGCGAGTGAAAACGCCTCCTTGGGGCTGAAAGGGAACCGACGGGGGGCTGCGCCCCCTCCCCTCCGCTCGCCCCCTCCTCACCCGTGTCGCGGATGCCTTCCTTGCAGACGAGGTCGGGGCGCTGGTTTTTGACATCGGGTCGTTCTCCGTGCGGGCCGGCTATGCTGGGGAAGACTGCCCAAAGGTAGGAGGCGGCCCTCTCTTCTCCTCCTGGGCGGCCCTCTTCCTAGAGGACCGGGGGTGTGTGTCCCTGACCCCGGATCTCCCCCCCTGCCCCACGGCGCCTGCTCTGCTTGCAGGCCGACTTCCCCACCACGGTGGGCTTGCTGTCCCACGACGAGTCGGCCATGGAGCTGGACGGCGACAAGGAGACCAAAGCCGGCAAGGCCTACTACATAGATACCAACTCCTTGCACGTCCCAAGGGAGAACACGGAGATCGTCTCGCCCCTCAAGAACGGGATGAGTACGAGGGCGGGGGGGGGGGTAGAAGAGGCCCGGGGAGGCCCCGAGCGGGAGTCGCGGCCCTCGTCTGCTGCGCTGGGACCGCTGCGCCCCAAATCCTAACTCCACGCGGGTCGCAGCGCGCATGGAAGGGGAGAAACCGAGGCTCCTGCGCTCGGTGGTTTGAGAAGGCCCGGGGACGGCACGGGGAGGAGTGTGGGGAGCCGGCAGCCAGCCCCCCCTTTTCCTTTATCCCCCCCCCTCGTTTCTCCTCCCCCCCCCAAGTCGAAGACTGGGGCTGTTTCCAAGCTATCCTGGATCACACCTACAACAAGCACATCAAGTCGGAGCCCAACCTGCACCCGGTGCTCATGTCGGAGGCCCCAGTAGGTATCTCGGGGGGCGGGGGGGCTCCCCCACCCTCCCCCTTTGTCCGTGGGCTCCTGCCCTCTCCTGACCCTCCGCCCCCTCCCCTCCCGCCAGTGGAACACGCGCGCCAAGCGGGAGAAGCTGACGGAACTGATGTTCGAGCATTACAGCATCCCGGCTTTTTTCCTCTGCAAGACGGCGGTGCTCACGGCGTATCCTCTCGGCGCTGCCCCGGGCCCGGGGCCGAGAACGGGGCCCCCTCCCCTCTTCCTGGCCGCCCCCAGGCCTTGCCTCCCTCGGTCCCGGAGGGCAGAAGTCCGGATGATTAGCCGGGATTCCGATGAAGGCCCCTGCCGTCTAGGAGCATCCAGGGAAAAGATTGGGGAGGGGGACACAGCTTCTTCTCCCGAGCCCCCCCCCACCGCCCCATTGCGGGACCCCCCCTGCCTCGCCAAGCCCTTGACGTTGCTTCACCAGCTTTGCCAACGGGCGCAGCACCGGCCTGGTCCTGGACAGTGGGGCCACCCACACCACAGCCATCCCGGTCCACGACGGCTACATCCTGCAGCAAGGTGGGGGTCGCCGTCCTCGGAGGGGGGCTCTGTTGTTGTGAGGTCCGCTGGGTCCAGTGCCAAACTCCGGGGGGGGGGGCTTGGCAGGATGCCAGGGGATGCCCCTGGGGGAAAAATGGCCCGTTCGGGGAGGGTGGCTGTCCTCAGGCGCGCTTGGCCAGGCCTGGCAGCCCCTGGCAGAGGCAGGAGGCAGACCAAAGCACTTCCTGAGTTTGGGGGTCCAAATCATTGGGGGGAGGGGTTTTCCGTGGGGCAGAAGACGCTGCTGCCAAGGGGATAAAATGCGACATATAGGGGACAGTAGGGCCAGCTCGCTCGCTCTTTCTTTCTTTCTTTCTTTCTTTCTTTCTTTCTTTCTTTCTTTCTTTCTTTCTTTCTTTCTTTCTTTCTTTCTTTCTTTCTTTCTTTCTTTCTTTCTTTCTTTCCTTCCTTTCTCTCTCTCTTCCTTCCTTCCTTCCTTCCTCCCTCTCTTCTTTCTTTCTCTTTCCTTCCTTCTTTTTTCTTTCTTTCTTTCTTTCTTTCCTTTCTTTCTTTCTTTCTTTCTTTCTTTCCTTCCTTTCTTTCTCTCTTCCTTCCTTCCTTCCTTCCTCCCTCTCTTCTTTCTTTCTCTTTCCTTCCTTCTTTTTTTCTTTCTTTCTTTCCTTTCTTTCTTTTTTCTTTCTTTTCTTTCTTTTCTTTCTCTTTTCTTTTCCTTCCTCCCTTCCTCCCTTCCTCTCTTCTTTCTCTTTCTTTCTTTCTTTCTTTCTTTCCTTTCTTTGTTCTTTCTTTCCTTTCTTTCTTTCTTTCTTTCTTCCTTCCTTCCTTTCTTTCTTTTCCTTCCTTCCTTCCTCTCTTTTTTCTTTCCTTCTTTCCTTCCTTCCTCCTCCCTCCCTTTCTCTTTCCTTCCTTCCTTCCCTTCCCCCTTCCTTTCTCCCCTTCCTTCCTTCCTTCCTTCCTTCCTTCCTTCCTTCCTTCATCCCTTCCCTCCCTCCCTCCCTCCCTTCCCTTACTCCTTCCCACCCTCCCCTTTTCACCCTCCTTCCTCCCCAACTGCAGGGATTGTTAAATCGCCCCTGGCTGGCGACTTCATCTCCATGCAGTGCCGTGAACTTTTCCAAGAGATGAATATCGAAATTGTCCCTCCATACATGATCGCAGCCAAGGTAGGGCTCCCCCTGTCCCCTTCCACCCCAGCCCGGAGCTATGGATCCCGGGGGCTGAGTGGGGGGGGGCTGGGCGGTCCGTCCACTCTGCTCCTGGGAGGAGCCGCCAAAGCGGGCGGGTGGGAAGAGCCGAAAGTGCACAGAATGGGACGGGGGGGGGGGGAGTGTCATTCAGAACTGGAGGTGCCTGCCCTTCCCAGCCCTGTCTTGAGGTCTCTGGAAGTGGGGAAGGGGCTGTAGAGAGCCCCTCCTCTCTTACAAACAGCTGGGTCCAGAGAGGATTGCAAGTGGGGTGCTCCCACAACCTGCGAGGCTGCCCATCTTCCTCCGCCCTCCCCAGGAACCTGTCCGTGAAGGGGCCCCCCCAAACTGGAAGAAGAAGGAGAAAGTGCCCCAAGTCAGCAAATCCTGGCACAGCTACATGTGCAATGTGAGCCCGGAGCCCTCGGGGAGGGAGGGGCCCTTAAAAAGGAGGGGCCCTTGAGGGAGGGAGGGGGCATAGAGGGAGGGAGGGGCCCTTGGGAAGGGAGGGGCCCTTGGGAAGGGAGGGGGCATAGAGGGAGGGAGGGGCCCTTGGGAAGGGAGGGGCCCTTGGGAAGGGAGGGGGCATAGAGGGAGGGAGGGGCCCTTGGGAAGGGAGGGGCCCTTGGGAAGGGAAGGGGCATAGAGGGAGGGAGGGGCCCTTGGGAAGGGAGGGGCCCTTGGGAAGGGAAGGGCCCTTGGGAAGGGAGGGGCCCTTGGGAAGGGAGGAGGCATAGAGGAAGGGAGGGGCCCTTGGGAAGGGAGGGGCCCTTGGGAAGGGAGTGGGCATAGAGGGAGGGAGGGGCCCTTGGGGAGGGAGGGGCCCTTGGGGGAGGGAGGGAGGGGCCCTTGGGGGAGGGGCCTTGCACTGTCAAGGGCCCGAAGGTGCCCAGTGGGTGCTGACTGGCTGACTCAGTGCCCGTAGCTCAAAAACTGAAGTGGACAGCTGATAGGTTTGGGTCAAGACTTGTTCCTGGGTGGGAAGGGGCGGGCAGGGTGTGTGTTGGGGAGGGGGCTTCTGTGCAGGCTATGCTGACCCTTCTCCATCCCTGCCGACTCCCACAGGAAGTGATACAGGACTTCCAGGCATCCGTCCTTCAAGTTTCTGACTCTCCGTATGACGAGCAGTGAGTATCAGGCGAGTCTGGCCGTGTGGGAGGCAGGGGTCTCATTTGAAGAAACGGGGGGGGGCTACGTCTTGGGGTCCCTCGGCCTAATCTTGCCCAGCCTCCTGGCTGCCCTCCTGATGGGTGGGGACCGCATCTCCCAGAATCCCCCCTCTTCCAGGCGTGTTGCTGGGAATTCTGGGAGGAGGATGAAAAAGGACAGAATCTCTTTCCTGCTTTGAGAGTTCAAGGCTGTGGAACCCAAGGTTCTTTCCAGAAAAACAGCCCTGTAAGGTAGGCTGCAGAAGACAGATGAGAGAATCCCATGAAACAAACCAAAATAGACAGGGAATTGCACTGCGCCTTTGATGGGAGAAATGGAACTGTTTTACAAGAAGAAAAAGAGGATCTAATCCAGGAGAGAAGCAACCTGGAATTAAGGAGAAACTTCCTAACAGTGAGAACAATTAACCAGTGGAACGGCTTGCCACCAGAGGTTGCGGGTGCTCCATCACTGGAGGTGTTCAAGAAGAGATGGGACAATGTTTATCTGAAATGGAATAGGGTCTCCTGCTTGAGCAGGGGGTTGCACGACTAGATGACCACCAAGGTCCCTTCCAAAAATGATTGAATGCATCTTTCCGGGTTGTGAGAAAGGAAAAGGAATTTGGTGGGGCCTGGATCCAGGGGGAGGCCAGAGGGGTCTGGCAGGGATTCGGTGGGTCCTGGATCCAGGGGGATCCAGAGACCGGGAAGCAACATGGGTGGGGGCCTGCGAACCCCCCCCCCAAAGCCATTTGGGGAAGGAATAAGGAAAGAGGAAGGTGGAGGGGCAACCCTTGACCTGCCCTGGCACTGCCAGTCCAGCCAGATCTGCCTCGATCTCTGTTCTCTCCCCCCCCTTGTTTGGAGCAGGGTGGCTGCGCAGATGCCCACCGTCCACTACGAAATGCCCAATGGCTACAATACGGACTACGGGGCGGAGCGCCTGAGGATCCCGGAGGGGCTTTTTGACCCTTCCAACGTGAAGGTGAGCGGGGCAGTGGAGGAGGGGCAGGGAGCAGGGGGGGGCTGGCGTTGTATTTCCTGAGTATCTGGAAAGGTGGGATGTGCAAGCCCTTTGGGGTGGGCCGCAGGGGGCTCCAAGCGTGGCCCCTTTAAGACTCGTGGGCTTCAACTCCCAGAATTCCCCAGCCAGCAGCCAGTGGCCAGGCTTAGAGACCCCTGCCCCAGAGCCCTCCCTCAAAGAGGGGGCGAGCCAAGCTCCCCCCCCGGTGTTGCGCAATATGGAGACTTACGCAACTGAGGCCAACCCAGTTGGGGACCTGAAGGGTTGTGTGGATCTAGCCTAGTGATGGCGAACTTTTTAGAGACCCCCAAACTGCAACCCAAAACCCACTTATTTATCACCGGGTGCCAGGTGGGCGTGGCCCACTGGGTGGGCGTGACTGCGGTGGTCATGGCAGATTGGGTAGGTGTCGGCAAGGTGGGCGTGGTCACCTCGATGTTGCTTGTGGGGAGGGATGCCTGTGGGGGGCCGGGCAGGGTTGGGGGAGATCCAGGGGGTCTCTGGCAGGTGGGGTGGTGGGGAGGAGGCTCGTCCTGTGGGGTGAGGTGAGACAAGACGAGGCTCTGAGTGCCACCTCTGGCACACGTGCCATAGGTTCGCCACCACTGATCTAGCCCAGCCCAGTGTGATTGTTTTTTTTTTTAATTGAAAAGTTTTATAAAAGTTACAATATAAACCCCAGAACCAACCCACCCTAACTCCTTCCTCTCCCTCCCCCACTTCCCAGAGCTGAATACAGGGTTACAAATATAATAATCATAATCTAACTAACATTAACCAACTATATAAATAACCAAGTCCATAATGCGCTTTAACTCCCCTTTAACGTAAATATAATAATAATAATTAAAACATAAACAAATTAGTATCCTAGTTATTAAACAATAGAATATCCATATTGTTAAACAATACTGATACTAAAAGTAATAATAATATCATATAATTAAAACTAATAAAAATTTCACTATTATAAACTATTAATACTAATAATACTCGTGGACCCTGGACCCCCCCCCCGCCAGTTTCCTTCCTTTTCCTCTCCCCCAGATTATGCCCCTGTTATTACCACGAAATTGCAGTTTGGGGGTGTGGCTGTTTAAGGCTTGTGCATGGGTGATTTTTGCTTTGCGCACCTGAACTCTGGATGTCACCAGCGCTTCC